CCCTCCCGCCCCCACCACCTCCCCCGCACACACACAGATCCCCTCCCCACTCTCGCTTTTAGACCAGTTGCCATTTCCAAGTGCCCAGGATCTCCTTCTGCTTCCATGAGATCCCTTTCCAACTCGGAAATGTGAATAAAGCCCTGCTCTTTCTTAGGAAGGTCTTGTTGTGTGGCTTGTATCTACTACATATGGGGGATGGGAAGTACCAGGTAAGGAGGAAAAAATGCAGAAAACTCACTAGCAAATTCTGCTCTTGGCTATAACTATTATAGATGAAGTCATCCTGTCCATTTCAGCCACTTTACATCACTATATGTAAGGGGGCTGGTGACCCCTTGACTTAATAGGGAACTCATGGACCTCCTGCACCTGAAAAAAAAAAAGCTGGTAAAGGAGGGAAGATAAGAAACACCACTAAAGAGGAGTATTCAGCATTGGCCCACATCTGTAGAGAGTGCACTAGAAAAGCCAAGGCTGAAACTGAGCTCAAACTGGCCACACGAATCAAGGACAATAAAAAGTCCTTCTTCAGATATGTGGGAAGTCAGAAAAAAACCAAGGGTAACACTGGAGCCTTACTAAACCAAGTGGGGCAGCTGATAACCAACACCCAGGAAAAAGTCAGTCTCCTTAATGACTATTTTGCCTCGGTCTTCCATCAGTGCAAGGGTATCACCCTGCCTGACAGGATGCAGGTTCACCAGGGGAAGGGCAAACATGCGCCCAGCACTGGTGTTGATCTTGTGAAAGTACTCACTGAGAGGCTGGATGCGCCCACAAATCAGTGGGCCTGGATGTAACGCGCCCAAGAGTGCTAAAATAGCTGGCTGAAAGACCAATGGCAAGGATAGTTGAGAACTTGTGGCACGTGGAAGAGGGTCCTGACGATTGGAAGTGGGCCAATGTGGTACCTATCTTCAAGAAAGGGAAGAAGGAAGATCCAGGGAGCTACAGGCCAATCAGTTTGAACTCAATCCCTGGAAAGATTTTGGAGAAAATCAAGGAAACCATTAAAACAGGCCAATAGAAGGTAATATTCTGAGAGATAGCCAACACAGTTTTGTCATGGGTAGGTCACAGATTCATAGATGTAGGGCCGGAAGGGACCTGAGCAGATCACCAAGTCCGACCCCCTGCCCTAGGCAGGAATGAATACTGGGCTTATATGACCCCCACTAAGTTAAGCTCATATGACCCCAGCTAGGTAATAGTCAAGCCTCCTATTAGAGACCCCTAAGGTAGGAGCCAGCACCACTTCCCCTGGAAGCTGGTTCCAGATCCTAACCCCGCTGACACTGAAGTAGCGCCTCCTGATGTCTAGCCTGAACCTACTCTCAGTCAGCTTGTGGCTAATATTCCTTGTTACTCTGGGAGGCGCTCGGGGGACCAGGGTCTCACCCATTCCCCTCTGGTCCCCCTGGTAAGTTTATAGATGGCCACCAGATCCCCTCTCAGCCTTCTCTTGTGGAGGCTGAACAGGTTCAAGTCCCGTAGCCTCTCCTCGTAGTGCCTGCCCTGCTGCCCCGATCATGCGGGTGGCCCTCCTCCAGACCCTCTCCATGCTATCCACATCCCTCCTGAAGTGTGGCGCCCAGAACTGGACGCAATACTCCAGCTGTGGCCTGACCAATGTCACATAGAGGGAGAGGATCACTTCCTTGGACCTCCTCATGATGCATCTGTGGATACATGACAAGGTGCGGTTAGCCTTGCTGACCGCATCCTCACCCTGTCGGCCCATGTTCATTTTGGAATCAATAATGACTCCAAGATCTCTTTCTGCCACTGTGCTTTCAAGAAGGCAGGTCCCCAGCCTATAGGTATGCTGCTGGTTCTTCCTGCCAAAGTGCAGTACCCTGCACTTGTCAGTATTGAATCCCATCCTATTCACATCCTATTCCCCTACCTCTGTAACCTGCCCAGGTCCAGTTGTATCCTGATCCCCCCTTCTAGTATGCCCACCTGGCCCCAAATCTTGTTGTCATCAGCAAATTTGAACAGCGTGCTTTTCACCTCTTCGTACAAGTCACTGATAAAGAAATTGAACAATATGGGCCCAAGGACCTTGCCTGACCATTTTCGTTTTGTTTTATGACCAGGTGACGCATCACCTGGACAAAGGAGAAGAAATGGATATCATATTTTTGGACTTCAAGAAAGCCTTTGACCTGGTGTCCCATGACATCCTCATGGAAAAATTGGGGAATTGTGGCCTTGACAATTTCATGGTCCAATGACTGGGGAACTGGTTCTGTGGATGGACCCAGACAGTGACAGCTGATGGAACCAAAGCAACATGGCTCATGGTGACCAGTGGCGTCCCCCAGGGCTCCACTCTTGGACCTGTAGTCTTCAACGTATTTATAAACGATCTGGACTCTGATGTCAGAAGTGGACTGGCTAAGTTCACTGACAACACCAAGCTATGGGGAAGTACGGTCAACTTAGAGGATAGGCTGGCAATCCAAGCCAAACTCAACAGGCTTACAAGGTGGGCAGATCAAAACCTGATGGCATTCAACACTGAGAAATGCAAAGTGCTCCACCTTGGGAGGAAAAACCCACACCACACTTATAGTCCCAGCAGCGCTATACTCACTAACACCATGACTGAAAGACACTTGGGGGTCATGTCTGACCACAAGAAGAACATGAGCCATCAATGTGATACTGCAGCCAGCAAAGCAAACACAGCTCTGGCTTGCATCTACCCATGCATCTCAAGCAAGACCCCAGAAGTCATCCTCCCAATTTACCCGGCCTTGGTGAGGCCACGGCTGCAATACCGTGTCCAGTTCTGGGCTCCAGAATTCAGAAAGGACGTGGAGAAGCTTGAGAGAGTGCAGAGGAGAGCCACGCGCGTGACAAGAGAGCAGGGCTTGTGAGGACAGGCTGAGAGACATGGGACTCTTCAGCCTGGAAAAGCATAGGCTCAAGGGGGACTTGGTGGCAGCCTATAAGTGCATAAGGAATGTGCATCAGAAACTGGGAGAACGTCTGTTCATCAGGGCACCCCATGGGAAGACAAGGTCCAACGGTTACAAACTCCCAGAAAACTGTTTTAGGCTGGACACAAGGAAAAACTTCTTTACTGTCCAAGTCTCCAGGGCCTGGAATACATTCCCCCAGAGGTGGTGCAAGCACCTACTCTGGATACTTTCAAGAAAGACTTGAATGCCTATCTTACTGGGATCGTTTGACCCCTGCTGGCCTCTTGCCCCTTGGGCAAGGGGCTGGAACCGATGATCTTGTGAGGTCCCTTCCAGCCCCAAAGTCTATGAAATCTATGATATACAGTTACATTTCAGCTGGCAAAATCTGAAGGAGTCAAAAACCAGCCTGAGGACATGAACTTTTAGAAAGGGGAAATTAAGAAAAGAAACATTTAAAAAGAAACAGAGAATTTATTTAGAAAAGTCGAAAGACTTTTGCAATTTTGTTGTTGCTGATGAGCTCATTTGGCCGGATTCTTGTTGCATTACCCAGTGCTCAGTGGTAGGTTTCTATCTGGAGCCAGCGTCCCACAAGAAATATTCTGCTTGATAGTTCAGGCAGTAGCAGACTGCTAGTTCTTGCACGCATCTTTTGTTCTTATTACTACTTTCCTGCTACCAGAAGACTCAAAGGAGCATGAGCCTGCAGACATAAAATAGGAGACAGGAGAGCAAGAAACAAGCCAACTGTGCTAAATGACAAGATCCAAGAAATTATTGGAGTGCACTTTCTTCTCAAACTGGAAACCCAGATCCCCTCGACCACAGGAACGTAGGAATGGCCTTAGTGTATCAGACTCAGACTCCAGCTTTTCCATCATCCTGTCTCTGACAGGGCCCAACACTAACATTTTCAGAGCAAAGAACAGGAAGCCCCACAGATGGCAACAATGGGTTACTCTGCCATCCTGAAAATCCTCTCTTAATCCCAAGGAGGAATGGATACAAAGCAGGAAGCAGGAAGCTTAGATCTTTCCCCAAACACTTTTTCTAGCATTATTCGAAAGCCAAACCTTCTTGTTTCTTGTATACACACCCGATCCTTCTGGGAACACTGCAGTGGCATTACCCGGCAAAGAGTTCAGCATGTTATTACATTACACATTGGTTGAAAAAGTTCTTCCTTTTATTTGTTACCATCTTTCAATTTCATTAAGCAACTGACAGAAGCTTCCAAATTGCACTAA